TTCATTCTCGTTTTCCGTAGCTCTCGATGCCCGCGTTAGTCTTCCATTAACGCTCATTAACATGCCGCGTGCAGTTTTAACTGGAACATCGATTCCGACCCGCTGGCACCGAACCCTCCCTCTCTCTATCTCGTTGCGTTTTTAAACGAGAGAATGGGGAAACAACTGGGGAAATCGGCCGTTGCTTATACATCCATCTCTCTCCTCTCTTTCCTCTTTCCTTTAATCTCTATAAATTCTTCCTACAGATTGAAATCACACGTTCGGTTTTTCGAGAAGAGACTCGCGGCGGCCTTACGAATACGAACGGATTCGATATTTTTCTCGAACCTCGAAAATCGTGGAAAATAAAAGCACGGTAATCTGTAGGTAATCCCCGTTACGGTTTAATTCTTGCACGATTCGGCGGCATTAAATTTACGGCTTTTAGAAAATCGTAGCGCGACCGCGTTCACCCAGTTTAACGACACGGTCGGTTATAATGGTAAACTCGTTTATCGCCTAAATACACGCGCTACGGGTGATGGAATTAATGCGGAAGGCAACATTCCGGTAATAAGCGGAACGCACTTCTGCCCAAGGTAAATCGTGGGAGAAAGTGGCGCGATTATCGCGATTAACGAGGCTCAATTTCAATTTCGATCGGGTAATAAGGATGATTAATCAAAACGCGGGGAACGAGACTGGCCAAAATTAATGGCCGGTAATAATAAAACAACCGAATCACGATCGAGAGTGTGTTATATACGTATTTATTTGCATTTTCTATCGAAAATTGTCCCGTTTTCTCCAACATAAGCGCGTTTCCATCGGTTCGAGAAAAGTCAAGTTTCGCGAATTTTAAAAATTCCTTCAAATGGAAAATAAACAGAAGAATGAAAAATTGTGCGAAAAGAAACACAAGAGGTTGATATCGTATATTATTTATAACGTTCGTTTCGCAAATTGAAGCAATGTTTTCACGATGATATTATCGGGATATATATATATATATATGTGCGCGCGCGCGCGCGCGCGGTCTCCACGTTTGAAATTCCCGAAAGGAAATCGTTTTCATAAAACAGACTGATTCAATTTCACGGTGAAACGAAACTTTTTTGATTCGCGGATAGAATTTTAACAAGAGTTGGTACACCGACCGCTGATTAATTTGAGTACTTTGAATTCGGTTTTTTCGATTCGGTTCGATGAGATTTAATTCGGTGTGAAAAAAAAAAAAAAAAAAAAAGAAAGGAAACCCGAATTTCAAGAATTTCTCTCCGCTCAAGAAGGTAATGATGTTAATTCGATATTGTGTCTTATTTCATTGTGTGTGTTCGACTAAGTTCGATTCGGTTTACAACAATCAATTGTGTGTCGATAACACTTGTTCTTGATCGGTCGGTGATACGCAATTATAAGAGATATCTCTAGTACTCAACAAATAGACCGAGCGAAAACATTGGAAGGATAAGTTTTTAAAAAACTTTATCTCGTTCCTGAAAACAAAATTACCAATTTGCAGAGTTTCCCGTGGATTCGAGATACCGATCGGCCGCGATTTAATGACAAAGAGGTAAAAAACGACAATGTAAAAAACACAATTTATTCGGACATTCGATACGATACAAAAAAAAAATCAAATTCCAAGAATCTCGATGAAACGTGCGAACGTTGAAATTTTTATATCTATGAATGAAAATAACAAAAGCGGAAGAAAAGAAAAAAAGAAAAAATGGATAATTTCGATAAAACGAATTCATCGTGAAGGATTTTGATTGGCAGTCTCGATAAACTTGGAGTCGAGATTCGATGAGGAAGAGGAAGAGGAAGAGGAAGAGGAAGAGGGAGGAGAGAGAGAGAGAGAGAGAGAGAGAGAGAGAGAGAGAGAGAGAGAGAGAGAGAGAGAGAGCGTGTTGTGTTGGATTGTAAAAGTGACTTCGTTACCTGCGAAAAGAACAACGACGTTTTTTGGTCTTTGACCGAACGAAATTCGGGGAACATCTGCTGCCTCGATTCATTCCAGGTGCGCTTAAATTTGTCAGAATAGGAAGCGGGAAGACCGAGAAGAATGGAGACCGAGGCAGTCAGTTGGAGGAAAGAAGGATGACGGGGTTGCGAGGTCGAATCGTTTTAAAGAGGGAAGCAATGCCGTTCGAAGAAGGAAAAGTATAAGTCCGGTTGTGGTCGGAGACAATGGCGGAGGGAGGGGAGATCGGAGAGAGGGGGGGGCGAGAGGTTCCGAAGCACGCAACGCGAACCGATCGCATTGCACAATGAAGCAAAAGCAATTATGAAGCAAAGCGTTACTCGTGAACGCGTTGGGAAACCAATGCGCAAGGATTATTGCATTTATCCGTGATGCAACGTTGTTTAATTATGTGTTTAAATAGAGATACGCGCATGTTTACCGGTACACGAAAACCTTCCTCTTGTTACCAACACACTCGAACGATTTGAACGGAAATGCAAGTTGTTGCTATTCTTTTACACGATACATGACGAGATGCGCAATGGTTTGAAATCGCATCATCTAGCTCGACAAAGATTAGAAAAAGCCTACTCGAACGATTCGATAACGATGCATCGCTTGTTTTTTTTCTTTACTTGTCGTTAAGTAACGATCGTATTTATCTTTATATATGCTCGTGTATATCTTTGAAAAAGTTGAAACGTTAAATCTAACTCCCTGGTACTGTATATGTGTTATTTTCTTGAAAAAGTTTTCACTTCATGGGTCACATTTGCAGAGAGCAACGAGGTCGTTGAACGGTGGATAAAAATTAACGAATCTTTTCCCCCGAAGTTTACGCGTGCCGTGAATTTAATATTTAATACGCGTAAAAGGGTGCACACGTACACGCGTGAATTCAAAGTGATGAAAATTTTAATTACGTGCACGAATCTGACGAATAACACGAGAATGTGTGAACGCGATTCGTGGTCGAATATTATTTTAATTAAAATATTGTCTGTCATTTTTCATTCGACTAGTTTGAACTCGATTTAGGATTTTAACGTTTAACGCTTAGATACAGGAATAGATTTTCAGCGATTTTTTAATTTAATAAATTACTACATAGTTATTTTTCTATATTTTTTTTTTTATAAACTTTTTCTCATTTTTATCGTGTTGGGGGGCTGATTATATTTGAAATCACGAAATAACCACGAGTTTACGTACAACGAACGATCAGTTTGTTAGAAAATGGCTGTCGGCGATTAGGAAAATCGTGTTCGAGATGAGGCACCGTGGTTTATCAACGAGTGCGATTTATCAACGTTCGAGAGAACGGAGATTAGCTTCCTTACCGATAACACGGAATCTTGTGATGAGACTGCTTCTCTTTCTCCTCGAGAAAAAGTAATTTAAACCTTTCCACGATCCGATCATTTGTCGCATGAAAAAATCTTTTGAAACGGTTTGTGTCTGAACTAATCCTCCTCAGTTTCCTGTATGCATTTGGTTTCAATGCAATCTTCTATATAATTAATCTGTGTACGATAAATATATAAATTTTACGAGCCATGATTCCGCCAATAACTACCGATAAAGGGAAAATCTCTCTTCTATCGTGAACTCGCCGTAATGAGACAAGTATTGATCGATTATTAAAAATATTAAGAGTGCGATGACTTCGGACCAAAAATATTAATCAATGTGATAATCAATTGTAATATTAAACGATGAAAGAATGCAAGTGAAAAATACGATTCAAATCAATCGTAGAAATAACGCGCGAAAAGATCAATTTTTCGTAAAACAGCATAATTTTTTTCTATTACTTTTTGCATGACGATACGCTTTGTTTCGAATACTATGAAACGACATTAATCTTTTCGCAATGAGTAATCGAAATTGAATGAGACGGAAAAGAAAAGGTTAAATGAATAGAATAGAAAATAAACAGATAATACCAAGTACCTATTAATGTATATATATATATATATATAT